ATGGGGCCACGAAACGTGTGAGGGGTGTGCCGAAACAGAAATACGCGGAGGGCACAGGCGGTGTGGCAGGAGGGAGGAGGGACGAGGGGGGAGGAAGGAGGGAGTGGACGTGGGTCTCTCTCTCTCTCTCTCTCTCCCTCTCTTCAAAACGAGGACCCAGCACCACAGGATAGTTGGGACTTCGCCAAATTTCACGGCTCGATGGCGGGCACACTCATCCCAACAAACTGCAAGAGCTTCACATATTGAAGGCGGCTCATTTTCAAACTTTGGCTCTTGCCCTAGCACCGCGAACATTGGTTCTCAAACTTTGGGCATCCAACAAACAAGCAAACACATAAACACACAAACAAAGTGAACGGGTTGAGGGCGGTTCCTGCTCACAATGTTGCTCTCGCCTCAGCGCCGCGAACATTTCCTTTACAAAAACGCAAGCGGTTCACTGATTCTTATGGTTGACGTACCAACAATGGTATGTTGGCGTGGTTCCGGATTGCCAGGGCGCAACAGTTGCGTGGATTCGCGGTGTTGAAGTCCCAAAATGGGCGTTCTGGCACGATTCAGGATCGTCGAACCAAAACAATCAAGATTTATTCGTGGCGTTGGAGTACCGAGAATTGTGTTTGACACGCTTCAAGATGCTTGCACGGCTGTCCCAGAACGGTGCACTTCTTTCAATGGAAAAGAACCCTTGTAGGGGCCTATGGACAGGGAGCTTGGAAGGAGGGTGTATTCCAACATCGCCGATGAGTCTTAGGTTTACACTGGTCCTTGTCCTCCCCCTCCTCCTCCTCATCCTCTTCCTTCTCCTTCTCCTCCTTCTCCAACTCCTCCTCCTCCTCCTGCTCCTCCTCATCCTCCATTCCTTCTCCTCCCTGCGTACCCTGAGGCCAGTCGGAAGGGCGGGTCGGGCGGATCGCATGACGACTTCCTAGCCATGTACGATGATGAAGCTCAAAAATTGTCAACAGCTTCACGGAGGAACGCGGCTTTCAAAATGTGGCTCTCGCCTTAGCGCCGCGCACATTCGCTTTTCCACGGAAAAAGTTTCACATATTGAGGGCGGCTCATTTTCGAAAGGTGGTTCTCGCCTTAGCGAAACTCATCCGTGTGAACATTGCAAAAGTTTCACGGATTCCCATGGTCAGCGTACCAGAACTTGTGTTTCGGAACGATTCGCGATTGTCATCCGGGCGCAACAGTTACGTGGACTCCCGTTTCTGGAGTCCCAGGAACGGTGTTCTGGCACGACTCAGGGTCGCCAAGACGCAGCGAACAGGTTGAGTCGTGGCGTTGGGGTCCCGAGGACTGTGGTTTGGCACGCTTCGGGATATTCAACTGGTTTTCTCCCAACGTAGCACTTCTCTCAGTGGAGCAAAAACCTTTGTAGAGGCCTATGGAGAGGGAGTTTGGAGGGAGGATGTATTCCCACATCGTTGATGAGTCTTGGGCTTACACTGGTCCTCCTCCTCCTCCTCCTCCTCCTCCTCCTCCTCCTCCTCCTCCCCCTCCTCCATTTCCTCGTCCTCCTCCTCTTTCTTCTCCTCCTCATCCTCCTCATCCTCTCCCTCCCCCATACATGAAGAAAAACTCCTCCTGCGGGTGGATTTACATATGTGACTCTCGCCTTAGCGTCGTGCACACTCGTCTTAACATTTGAAAGAATGTCACGGATTGAGTGCGGGCCGTTTTCAACATGTGGCTCTCGCCCTAGCGCCACGAACACTCGGCTTAAACATTGGCAAGAATTCCGCAGATTGAGCACGGCTCCTTTTCAAAATGTGGGTCTCGCCTTAGCGCCGCGCAAACTCGTCGTAAACATGTGCTTGAGTGTCACGGGTTCCCATGCTCAACGTACTAGAAATGATGTTTTGGAGCGATTCCTGGTTGTCAGGGCGCAAAATTTACGTTGGTTCGCGGTGTTGAAGTCGAAGAAATTGCATTCTGGTGCGATTCAGGATCGCCAAGACGCAACAGTCACGTTAATTCGTGGCGCTGGGGGCCCGAGAATGGTGGTGTCTTGCCATGCTTCAGGATATTCAAACGGTTGGCTCCCAACGGGGCACTGCTCTCAGTGGAAATGAATCCTTGTAAGGGGCCTATGGAAAGGGAGCTTGGAGGGAGGGTTTATTCCAACATCGCTGATGAGTCTTGGGTTTACACTGGTCTTCCTCCTGCTCCTGCTCCTCCTCCTCCTCCTCCTCCCCATGCTCCTCCTCCCCCTCCTCCTCCTCCTCCTCCTCCTCCTCCTCCTCCTTCTCCTGCCTCTTACCCAGCCACGGTCGGGAGCTTTTGCTCAGAGTTTCGCGGCAGCGGCCAAAACGATGTGCCCTGCGGGCGGATAGCGTGTCGCTCCGCTCCGCGTGGCGGGAGGCTGGGACGTGCTCGGGACGCTCACGTTCGCGGACCGCGACCCGGTCAGCGCGACGCGTCGAAGCGTTGTGGGTCAGAACTCACCGAGCGGGAGGCACCTTGGGCCGAGATGTCCCCCGGCAGCCTCCGACCACCTGAAGGACCGGCGAAGGCCTCCAGAGGCCGAAAACCGACCATTAGCTACGCCGACGCGCCTGGGCGGCGACGAGCCACCGTGGCGACATGGTCAGAACTGGCGGAGCGACATGGTAAGGAAGCGGCGCGTTCCTGACCGTAAAGGTGGGGCAAGGGCAGAGGTGTCACTGCACCGACCTTGCAGACGTGCTGCAGCGGATGTTTTCTGGGAGTTCTGCCGATGCGAAAACCTAGAAACAGCGAGTGAAAACCTAGAATCAGCGAGTGAAAAACGAGGTGACTTTCGCGTGGATTTTTGTTTACTCATCATTCCTGGCCAAAAAACCGCACGGAATTCCCGGCGAAATCCGGAACGACATTCTCCAGGACACTCCGGACCCACCCGATCGCTTTCGGAGCGACATCCGCTCTGCGATGTGGGCGCCATGACAAAGGCAGAGGTGAAGTTAGTGGAACAGCACTCCAGTTTGGACACCCGAAATGGGTACGGAAAAATTGGCACAATGCCCAACAACAAATGTTGTCCCAAACCAACAGCGGCCGCTGTTGGGCAGGCGGCCTTCTGTCTCAAATGGACACAGACCGCGACGGCGCGGATAGCGAGTCCTGCTCAAGATGAACAGGAACTGCTGCTGGGCATCGTACCCACTCTTTCCTTTCCGTACCCACTTCGTTCGTGCAGATCCAGACGGCCCCATGCGCGCGTCCAGCCAGCTTCGCTCCGCAACCCCACCTGGGATAGAGGAGGAGGAGGAGGAGGAGCAGGAGGAGGAGGAGGAGAATGAGGAGGAGGGGGAGGGGGAGGAGGAGGGGGAGGGGGAGGAGGGCAAGCTAGGTGCGCTCGCGTCATATCTGACATCCTACCCCTCCCTCCCATCCCTTACCATGGCGCAGATCCCCTCTCTACTCGCACAGTCGGATGTCGAGCAGGGCAATGATCCCGAAAGGGTACGTGATGCATTGTAGAGCACGGCGTGGCATGGCGTAGAAGAGCGCCGCAAAGCGTAGTATCAACCTAGCATTGCATTGCATGCCGTGGCATGGCACGGGAAATGACGCCAGCGCTGCAGCGGGAACACGAGTCGAAACGAGCGGAAGCGCGGAAATGAGGCCAGCGCTGCAGCGGGAGCACGATTCGGAACGAGCGGAAGCACGCCGGAATCGGCCCGGGAGGCTTCCCGGGCGCAAGAAGCAGGAATTAGGCATTATCAAAAGAAAAATGTGTATTGGAATGGCCTTTTTTCGGCGCCGCCTCGGAACTCGATTTTCCGGCGCCGGCCGGAACCGGCTCCGGACCCGGCCCGGGCGCTGGCCCATGCTCGGGCGTCCGGCCCGGGCGCCGGCTCGGGCGGGCCCGGGCGTCGGAATCGGCCCCGGAGGCCTCCTGGGCGCCGGAAGCAGAAATTCAGCATTTTCAAAAGAAAAATGTATAATCATTGGAAAGGCGCCGCCTCGGAGCTCGATTTTCCGGCGGCGGCCGGAACCGGCTCCGGACCCGGCCCGAGCGCCAGCCTGGGCGCTGGCTCGGGCGTGCAGCCCGGGCGCCAGCGGAAATGATGCCAGCGCTGCAGCGGGAGCACCATTTCGAACGAGTGGGGCCCGAAAATGAGGCCGGCGCCCCAGCGAGAGCAGCATTTTGGAAAAAAATGCAGGCGAAAACCCAACTCCGGGGAAACCTGTGTAAAAAAATAATACGCGGGGGGGGGGCGGCTACTCCCAAGACGTCATCATGGGAAGAGGGAGAGTAGTATTCATATTTATTATAATTGTGGAGGAGGATGGAAGGAGGAGGGGGAGGAGGTTCTGCAGGAGGAGGCCCGTGCGCCAGCCCTCGCGCCCGGGGCACGGCTCGGCTCGCCGACGGCATGCGCGCCACCAGGGAAGCCGGAGCATCACACGACCGGATCCACACGAGGAGCGCCCGGAGTCAGACGCCGGATGCACATGTGGAAGGCCTTATGTTGCATCCTCGGGGGACCTTGTCTGTCCCGTCGCGGCCCTGTCCGCGTCGAATGCGTGTCGAATCCATGTCGGACGCGTCGGATCCGTGTCGAGTCCGTGTCGAATCCGCGTCGAATCCACGCCAAATACGCGTCGAGTCCGCATCGAGCCCGCGTCGGGCCCCAAAAAGACACCAATTTTGGGGACAGGCGAGGTCCCCCGAAGATGCAACAGAAAAGACCCAGACCTCCAACGCCTTCAAACAATCAAGACGGAGGTTTTTCTCGATTCTCGGCCTCTGGCGGCCCTCGCTGGGCCCCGGGGCCGTCAAAAAACGGCTCACGATGAAAAGCCGGTCCTGGGGAACGGGTCGAGACTTCCGGGGACCCCGCATGGAAAGAAGCACGACATCAAATCTCTGGGGACCCGCGTGCCTTGCCATCAGCAAGGCCGAGCGCTGGAAGTACTGATTTTCGTTGTACGGCCTCGTGCATCCTACGGGGCCAAAGAGCATACACCGCCACCACCTCCCTCGCCCCCGTGCCCTCTCCCAGGAGAGGAAGAGAGGAAGAGGAGGGCAGAGGAGGGATGAGGAATCAACGTGGTGGTGGTGGTGTTGTGTACCCTTGGGGCCCGCATACCCAGCTGTCGTCCAGGCTGGCCGTGTCATGTATATCCAACTTCCTGGCAATCACTTACAACCTGCACCTGTAGAAACGATGCCAGGGTCCGTTTCATCCAGTGGGCTCCCCTACACACCTCCATCAGGAGCCCCTGTCCGACATATACACGCGAAGCCTCAGAGGAGCGCCTTGAGCGCGCCCACTGACACCTCGACGCGGCCGCGCGGAGCGACCTCGAGTACCACGTACACACATCCTGAAAAAAAATAAAAAGCTAATGGAAGCGCCAGATCTTTGGGCTGGCATCCAAGCGAAGCCTGCGGCCGGATTAAAGGGATTTCAAGCCTGGTCGGGCACGAAGGTCTCTGAGCAGCCTCACTCTCTTCGTAGCCGTCTAAACAGCAGGAGCCACCGCCACCTTCGCCGTCTGAGCCGCTGCGCTCGCTCATCCAGTAGTGTCAGCTTGTCTTGCTGGAGGAGCCGCTAGCGCTGCTGTGGGTCATTTCATGGGGGCTGCTCGTACCGTCGCCAGAGGCTGCGGGGCTGCTCGACTTGCTCGGCGCGGCTGAAGCATTGGTGGCGCCTGTCTTGTTGGCAGCGTGATGGTTCACGCGGGAAGACTTGGTGGCATCGGTCTTGTCGGCAGCGTGGTGGAGGTCGGAGGCATTGGTCTCATTGCTGCGGCCGCCTTCGGAAGTGTTGTCAGCGCTGCTGTTGGATGTACTGGTGGTATTGCCACCACGCCCGGAGGCACTGTCGCCTGTCTCGCATCCCTTGCCCTCGCTCCCGCAGCAGAACTGCTTCTTTATGGGCGACCAGCCGCGCCTCCAGTTCTCGTAGCCGTCCAGGCAGTCGTAGACCACGGACGTCGTGGTCGTCTCGCACCCACGGCCTCGATGCTCGCAACACCAGGCGAGCTTGGGGGGCGACCAGCTTTTCTGGAGGCACTCGTAGCAATCCGAGAAATCCACGTCGCAGTCGAACGAGGGGGCCTGGAGATAGTGGAGCGAAAAATAACATAAACGAAAAACTCGGAGGTCCGCGCGGATTTCTCGGATCGGCGCTAGACCCCCCTCTGTGGCGCGCTCCTCGCGCCAGGGGCGGCGCCAGGGGCGGAGCCAGAGGCGCCGCCAGGGGGGCCAAGCGCCGATCCGCGAAATCCGCGCGGACCTCCGAGATGTTATGTTTATGTCATTGTTCGTTTCCCTAGGCCCTAGGAGAACCAAACGAACACAGACATTCGCGGCTGGCACATACGATGGGAAAGTCGACCGTCGAAACAAGCTGAGGTGGCCCTGCTGTCGCCCGCCCGCCTACCGCATGCCCTGCGGTGCCCCAGGGGTTCTTCTCCTCTGGGCGCCCAAAGGGTCCTGGGGGGTGCGGCAGCAGCAGAAAATCCGCAGGGCAGGATGGCTGGTAGGTGGAGGCCAGTCCACAAGAAACATTCCGCAAGAAGCCCAAGCCTGAGACCCCAGGACGTCCATTGATTTTTAGTGTGGGAACGTCGCGCGCTCCATCTCGAAACCATCGAGACCCAAGAAACCCACGGCACCCTGGAGGCAAGCAGGGTGTTTCTTGGCATGGGTCTCCACTTACAGCGCAAAACGTTCGGAGGCCCACGCGGATTCCTCGGGTCGGCGCGGGGCACTCGTTTCCTCGCCCAGTCCCCGGCACGCGTCAGGGTCCGCGGAGGGGGGGGTCCAGGTCCGATCCAGAACACACGCACGGACCTCCGAAAGCTTGGCATGTTTGAGCATTGTCTGGCTTCTCTGCGCCCAGGTCCCCAACGTCGAAGTTGGCTCGAGACGTGAACCTCTGGAGCTCTAGCCTCGGCCCCGTCCAGGACACTGGCCCCCCAGAGGCCACAAATGGCAAGGAACCTCCAGCCATGACTCCTCCACGACGCCAACAAGGGCTCTCCTCCCCCCTCCGAAGCCCACCCCTGGGTGGCGCTTCGAACCAACTTCGAGGCGGACCCAGCCGTGGCGACTAGAAGCTCCCCGCAGGCGCAGGCAGAGCGGAAAGCGCCCGAGCATCTCGACCCTCGAGCATCGATCCTCGACCCTCGAGCATCGACCCTCGACCCTCGACCCTCGATCCTCGATCCTCGACCCTCGAGCATCGATCCTCGACCCTGGCCCTCCCGAAGTCCATCCTGGCTGGCTTTTCACGCCAGATCGGTTTCTGGCAGTCCGAGGGCCCACAGCGGACCCCCAGAGGCCGAAATCCAGGGAGGAGCTCCAGGCGAGGTCGGAGGGCAAACCTCGATCCTCGAGCCTTGGTCTCGTGAGGCGGCGCCGTCGTGCTGCTGGAGCTGGACCCCCGCGCGTGGCTGTACAGGGTGAGGCCCTGCACGCCGAGGCGGCCCGCGGCGGCGGCCTGCACGGCAGCGTCCGCCACCAGGTGTGAGGCAATCTTGCCCTCCACCTGGGCAGAGAACGCCCTCCCTCCACCTCCTCCTCCTCCTCCTCCTCCTCCTCCTCCTCCTCCTCCTCCTCCTCCTCCTCCAGCCGTTATGGCACAAGTGTTGTGCTTGTTGACGCGAACTTCAGAGCGGCACACTGCGTCAACGGGCCTTCTGGCTCGGATTTTCTCAGTAATTGATTTCGGGGTGTATGACACCCCCGCCTGCATCGCGCAATGGTGGTGCTAAAGGAGATGGGCGTGGCAAAGGACGAGTTCGTGCGGACTGGTCCAGCGGCACGGCCGCCCCCCCCTGGCACGACGGCGCCTACGTGTACACGGACAAGGTTACAGAAGGATATTCAAAGTTCAAGTGCAGCTCCTGTGGCTGCGCGAAGAACCCTAAGGCGGCCCGCTACTGCAAGCATTGTGGGGCGCCTCTCGCTGCTGTTCGTCCTGTTGATGGTGGAGCACCACAGAGCGGGGCCTGGTCGTTGGCCCCTCCTGGCGTATTCTCCTCGGCAGCTCCCTGGGCCAAGCACTCGCGTCCTCACCCTGGGCCTCCTGGAGGTCCTGGACAGCCAGCTGGAGCTGGGCATGGAGGTGGGCATCCTGGAGGCGCAGCTGCCAGGGCACCCCCTCTCCCCGTCGGGCCCCAGAGCCAGCTTAAAGCGGATGAGGCCAAGCAGCTGGTAGATCTCGCACGAAAAAGGAGGTGACCTCACCACAGCAACCAAGTACGAGGCCGAGTTCAAGAAGCTGCATGCACAGGAGTCGCCTAAGCCCCCCACACCGCTCCACCAGCGAGTGCAGCAGCAGTTCGCTGCCGTGGCTCGACTGGAGAAGGCGTTGGATCGGGAGGTGGACAAGCTCCTGGGCTGGAGGAACGACATCGCCAAGCTTGAGGACACGGTGCGCACCATGCGTGAGGAGTTGGGCACAGCTGACCAGCAGTACAAGGCGCTGGTGGCTGAGCTCCAGCAGCAGGCGGCTGTGGCACCTGTCCCCGCTGCCCCTGCCCCTGCCAAGCTCAAGCTGGAGGACCTGTGTGCCGACACGTTTGACCTGGGCGCCTTCCTCACAGTGGATGAGGTCAGTTTCTTCGAGGGCGACGCAGAGCTCGAGGACAAGGACCGCGAAGAGATTGCCAAGCGGAAGGACGACCTCAACGCTGGGGTCTCCAAGCTGGCCAAGGACCTTCTGGGCCCCCTGGTGGCTGCCGCCAAAGCGGCCCGAGATGCACATCGCGAACATCTGGCTCGGGTCGCCAGCAAGCGGCGGCGCACAGATCAGGGAGCAGCGGCAGGGGGAGATGCTGGAGCTGAAGGTGAGCCGCGTGAGGCACCTGATCCCGCCCCTGGCACAGCGGCAGCCGACGCTGCCCCAGCTGGTGGTGGAGCCCCAGCAACCGCAGACGATGTGCGGGCCAAGGCAGAGAAGGCCCTTCAATCTCCTCCCCCCGCCCCTGGCGGGGTGGGGGGAGGAACCACCGCCTAGTCTGGCCGTGCATTCGCGCCTGCATGCGCGTACCAGTTTCAGCGCTCTCACGGTGAGCGCCCAAGGGAATTCTCAATGCCCGTCCCCAACTTTTGATTCGGATGGTTTCGAAATCCACGGTCTCAGAGCGCCTTCCCATGCTGGGTCGCATCAATGTAGCGTCGATGGAGTGCGGAGCTCCCTCGACGCTCGATGGGCCGAAGCCCGCAAGTGTTTCAACCTGTCGCAAGTTGTGGACGCCACCCTCGCCAAGTCGGACAGTGCCCGTCCCCGACAGGCCGCTGGCGGCCCCCACCCTAGGCATCGGCATGGCCCCCCTGGTTTTTTTCGGCACCGAGGGCCGCGAAGTTTTTACCAGGGCCGCGCCAGGCCAATGTGTTGAACGTTCACAGGCTTCCAATTTTTTTCCCTTCCACACCCCCGACCCCAGCCCTGGAGATTCTAGTGTTGAGCTCGTTATCCAGACCGCCAATGTCACGTCGTGGCAATCTGACTCGGGTGGCGGCCTCAAAGCTTGGCTTCCCAAGTGTGGTGCGCACGTTCTCTTAATCCAAGAGCACCACCTGCTTGAGGCTGATCTGGGGGAGGCTACTGGATGGGCTCATCGGCATGGGTGGAAAGCTATCCTTGGGCCTGCTGCTCCAGGTGTGGGACACGGTACTTCTTCTGGGGTTGGGATCCTGGTCCAGAACTCTTTGGGATGTCACGCTCCTCCTGGAGGCCACATTATCGACAGGCATCGTTCGATTGGGGCCGTCGTGCGCATTCCTGGTGGTGAGCCTATTCTCGTTTGCAGCACTTACTTGCGCACGGTCGAGGCTGTCGGAGGCCAACGTGGAGCTCCTTGCGTGTGTTGGCACGGTCGTTGAGCAGGTAAGCTTACCCACTATCATTGCAAGAAGAATCCGAACCGAACTGGTAACCGTGAGCCGGCGGCTCCTGCAACCGAGCCGCCCGAACTGGGGCCCGAACCGGACCGGCTGAAACCAGACCGGGCGGTTCGAATCGAACCGGCCGGTCGAGACCGGCCCGAACGGCAAGCCCGAACCGGGTGGAACCGAACCGGGCCCCGGGACTCCCCACCGGCCCAAGAAAAGCCCCGGTGCCGGCCCCCCCCCCCCCGGTGCCGGCACCCCCCCCTCTGGTGCCGGCCCCCCCCCCCCCGGTGCCGGCGCACCCCCCTCCCCCGGTGCCGGCCCCCCCCCCCCGGTGCCAGCACCCCCCGGTGCCCACCCCCCCCCCCCCCGGTGCCGGCACCCCCCCCTCCGGTGCCGGCACCCCCCTCGGGGGTGCAGCAGGGCGCGGGGGGGGAAGCGAGGACCCCCTCCTCCTCCTCCTCCTCCTCCTCCTCTCCTCCTCCTCCTCCTCCTCCTCCTCCTCCTCCTCCTCTCCTCCTCCTCCTCCTCCTCCTCCTCCTCCCCTCCTCCTCCAGGCGGCAAAGCAGCTCCAGGCGGCCGAACCCCACCCTCTCCGGGCCCCCGGAGGCCCGCGTTTTCTGGCCCCGGGGCCGCGGAGACGAGGGGAAGAGCGGCATGAGGGAAGGGGCCGAGAGGTCCGGGGGCGCCCGACGATGACGACGACGGCGGCGACGACGACGACGACGGCGGCGACGACGACGACGACGACGACGACGACGACGACGACGACGGCGACGACGACTGCAGCGAGGCACCTCGCCGGGCGCGGAGCCGATGGGCGCGCGAGACTCCTCGCTCCGCGCTCCTGGCACCTCGCTCCTCGCCCACCTCCTAAACCTCCTCCTCCTCCTCCTCCTCCTCCTCCTCCTCCTCCTCCTCCTCCTCCTCCTCCTCCTCCTCCTCCTCCTCCGGCCCAAAGCCGGCCCCCCCAAAACCGGACCGTCCCGCGACCGCCGAACCGAACCGGCATGACCGACCCGGACTGGCAAAACCGGACCGACCAAAACCGAACCGGCGCCGAAATCGAACCGCTGCAACCGAACCGGTCCGCCGCCGAACTGGCCCGAACCGGCCCGAACCGGACACTTCCTGTCATTGGAGCCGACTTTAACATGAGCCCCGACAAGATCGTCTCGTCTGGGATCGACAACAGGTTGGGGGCGCAGGTGGTCGTTCCCAATGAGGTCGTGGGAACATGTGGCACTAGCATGCTCGATTATTATATTGTTACTGCTGGGCTTGCTAAAGGTATCTCCACCGTCAGTGCTGTTCATACGTCCAACCTCGTCACACACCTCCCCGTGCAGATGCAGTTTCATGCAGGAATTGGGAGGTTACATGGCCTTGTCTTTCGGAAGCCCCCGCCGTTGCCGATTGAGCCTGCGATCGGCCCGGTGCCGCCGCCGCCAGATTGGACGGCTATTCAGTGTGAAGCTGATCGTGCCCTTGTTGCCTGCCATAGCGGTGACGCGCACGCTGTGCAGTGCATGCTCGACACCCTCTATAAGCACTGGGCCGACCTTTCGGTGAAGGAGCTAGGGAGGGGGAGACAAGCCATTCTGCCCTGTTGGGAGAGCAGGGGAAAGATGCCACAGCAACATTGGGTTAACATTCTCGATCATGATCGTGAAGCCCCCCACCGGCAGCCCCAATTGTATTCTATTAAATGGCTTGTGAGCAAGTTCAGGCTCCTTCCCCAACTCGATGCCGTTGCTATAGGATCCGCCCAGTCCCAGGAAGTTCGGAGGCTGTTGCTTAACCCTCCTAGTTTTTTTGAAGCAAGGGCTGGATGTCCACAGCGACCTCGTCATTCGAGTGCAGTCCTTTTTGGGCCAGCATGATCTCCTCGACCTCGCCGCTGGAGAATCCATCCGTTCCGACTTAGACGAGCACCTCGCGACCTTCGCCGTGAAAGCCAAATCGCGGTCGCTCGCTGAGTGGAAAGAGTGGCTCCTTCAGTCTATTGACCAGGGCGCCAGGAGAGCTCACCAGCATGTCAGAGGCAGCCAGCCGTGGACCCCCCACCACGACCCTCAGCAGGGATGGAGCTGTTGTTTCGGATCCCCTTGCGCTGCTGGCTTCGGAGGCAAGTAAGTTCAGTAAGCTTTGGAGGGCCACCGCCGACCCCCCCCCCGAAGGAGACCAAGTTCCAATACGTTGAGCCCCTCCCCCGTCTCACTGCGGAAACCCTGCGTTCGGCTTCTAGGCGGTATCCCGCCCGCTCTGCCACTGCTGTTGACGGGTTCCACATGAAACATTTTGCCTCGCTCTCGGATGGGTCCCTGGATGTCCTGTGTACCATGTATTCTAGCATGGAAGCGTCTGGGCTGTTCCCTGGGCAAACCTCCCTGGTTGTGCTTTCCCTCCTCCACAAACCCTCTGGAGGGTGTCGGCCCATTTGCCTTTTCTGCAGCTCTCACCGCCTCTGGGGGCGGTGTCGCAGGCCCTACGCGGCCCAGTGGGAAAGCAAGTTTCAGCGATGCTATTTTGCGGGGGCCCAATTCTCTTCTGCGGTCGATGTTGTCTGGAGGCAGACTTTGCGAGCTGAAGGAGCTGTGGCCAGCAGCCAGTCCAGCTGCACGGTCCTGTGGGACCTCTACAAATGTTTCGAGTTGGTGCACTTGGGCATGCTCCTTCAGCGCTGCCATCAGTATGAGTTCCCCGTCCAGCTAGCTCGGCTTGCTGTGCAGGGATATCGGCATGGCAGGTTAATTTCTCTTGGCGGCGTGGTCGTCGGCCCGTTCCATGTCGCCAACGGCGTCGTCGCCGGCTGTGGGTTTGCAACCACCATGGTGCGCATTAATGCTATTCCTGCCCTTGACGCGTTGCGGCTGCCACCTGGTATTACGCTTGACGTTTACATGGATGATTATGGGCTCAGCTGCAACGGGCCCAGCGCCTACATTCTCAGACACCTCCCTGAGGCCGCAGCCAACCTCAGGGATGCCATCGAGGTTGACATGGGGGCGGTCATATCTCCTGATAAAGCTTCCCTCGTCGCCTCGTCGGACGCGCTCGCCATGCAAGTCAGGGACTGCCTGGGCGGCCTCGCGGGGCCAATTATCCAAGGGGCCGCCAACTTGGGCATTGACTATGCCCCAGGGACCTCCCGACGCCTTCCTGGGAGGGGGGAAAAGTTTTCTGACCGCGTGCGGGTGTTCAACAAAAAAGTCAGAAGGCTCAAGCGAGCTTAGCGGCCCCTCGGGCGGCGCGCTGCCAAAGTCGTTACTGCTGGCCCTCTCCCCAGCCTCACGTTTGGGTCTGAGGTTCATGGGCTCTCGGATTTTGAATGGCACAGGTTGCAGGTCGCCGCCGCCAGTACTATGCAGCCATCTGCCAAGATGAGGTCACGGACCTCTGTCCTGATTTTGCCCCAGGACCCGACCTAATACCCTGCGGTGGCGCCCATCGTGAGGTACTCCAAGGAGATTTGGGCCAACCAAACCAAGCTCTTTCCCTTTGTTATCCCGTGGGCTGAGCTGAGGGACGCGTGGAGAGGTGTGCTTGGTTCTCCTGGGCCCAAAACCTGGCGGGGGGTCCGTGGGCCGCTGGGGACCATTAAGCTGGCCTTGAAGAGGATCTCTTGGAGCATGCCTAACTACTGCACCCTGTTGGATGACTTTGGAACTGAAGTTTCGCTTACGGTCACGTCCCCAGTTCTACTTAAGAAGCTTTTGAAGGCTGCTGTTCAGAGGACTCATGAGAGGTCCAGCGGCGCTGCTCTGCTCCCGCGCATTCGAGGAGCTCGAGTTTGCCATGATGTGGTTGCTGCTACGCTCCGCTCCAAGAAGGGCACGCCGTCCCAGCGAGGCTGTGCCAAGGCTGTTGCTTGTAATGCCACGTGGACTAGAACCAGAGCCGCTGAAGCAGGATACGCTGTCAGCACTGACTGCGAGCTTCGTGGGGGTGCGCCAGATACCATGCTCCATCGGCTATGGTTCTGCCCAGCGTGCCATGACAAGAGGGATGCTGCGTTTGACAGTTTCAAGCCAAAGTTATCCCTCCTGCCCCAGCCTGACCTCTCGCCCGGGAACAACGAAGAAGACAACTTGCTGTTTACGCGTGGCCTGTTTCGGCATCCAGGGGATGTGTTTCCGTTTCCTGCTCGTGACGATGTCGAAGATACTGGCCTCGAGATTATATGGGCCAATGACCGTACCTCCAGATCGCTTAGTTTATCTGGGCACATCTTTGTGGACGGGTCCTGCGTCGTGCACCATGTTAAAGAACTCTCCAGGGCTGGGTGGGGGATTGTGATGGTTAGTGACGAGGGAGACGAGATCTGTCGCATCAGTTGTCCCCCAACCTCCAGACTGCCCAAGGGGGAGAGTTTGGGGCCTACGCTGTTGCTGTAATGCATGCCCAGCCAGGTAGCTCCAGTTACTCCGATTGTAAGAATGTGGTAGTACAAGCCAATGAGCCGCTGCTCAAGGCCCTGTCCTACCTTCGCGTGTACTCTGGCTTTTTGCTCCCCACCCATCGCAAGCTGTTATAAGGGGTGTTTAAGGTCAAGGCGCATGTTGAAGATTCCTGTGACATCACTGAGCTGGAGCGGTTTTGGAAGCAATGCAACGACCTTGCGGATCTGGTCGCCAAGAGCTCGCTTGCCCGCCACCCGCAACCCGACCCCGAGGATGTGGTTTGGCTTGAGAGATGCCTCTCGGTTGCCCAGTGTGTCATGCGTCTTTCCACTGAGCTGATGCCACTGTGGCCTCGGCTACACATGACAGGGGTCCCGCTTGTGCCCAAGCCCCTGCGGCCTAAGATAAAGCCGATGTCCCACCAGTGGACTCGGGTGTCATCGTTTTGGCAATGCATTGAAGGTCTCAAGGTTGCTAAGGGCGCTCCGTGGACGAACCCTGATGGGTCTCGGCCTGGAGGTCTCGACCCGCCTGCCCCAGGGGCGTGCCTTAGAGATTCCAAGCTGACGTCCGCGGTGCTTTGATCCCTCAGGCACAACTGTATAGCTTTGCTATGCTCCGATGGCGCAGCCCTCACTATTTGTATGCGTTGCTATGCCTATTCTTCCCATGGGCAGCCACGCACTTTGCTTAGACAATGTGACGGCCAACCATAGAGTGCAGGCGCCAAGTCTGCCTGGAGTTCAGTGGGGGCTGGACGTCACCCCAAGCGCAAAGGAGTTTCAGTCGAGGTTGGCCCCTGGTACGAAGATTTGCAGCAGGAGGAGCGGCCACGG